AGTTAGACCTTTATTTGCAACAAGCTAATTGTGGTTATAATAGCCTGCATTACAAAATGCTTGTCACCGATATTTAAAACTTTTTGCTACTCATTTTACAAATTGTTATCGTTATAACTCTGATTTTAATATAAATGATACTATATTATAACTGAAGCTGTGCATATTGGGCAAGCTTCCTTCCACCTTTGTTCCTGAGAAAATGTGTTTATACTCTTGCTGGACCATTGCATTTTTTGTTTAATAGGTCATTATTAGGACACAAAATTCCTGTAGTATTTGAGTCTGGTGAAAGTCAAGATATTAAAAATAACCGCCCAATAAGTATATTCTGTCGTCGGTTCCTAAACTCTTTGAAAAGCTCTTAATGCCCTATCTACAGTGGCATTGTAAGAGTATTTTTGATCCAACAGCATGGATTTGTACCCCAAAGATCTACTCGTCATGAGTAACGTTTTGGTTTACGAGCAAGACAATTATTCATAATTTTTGTTCACGAGAAATATCAGCTGCATCATGTTTTACTTTCTGTAAGCCTTTATTTTCTGCCGATGGCCTTAAAATATACGTAGAAATAAATAGTATTAGTGACTCTCTTAATCTCCATTGATAAATATCACTGAAGTGAAAGTCAAATACTTTTTAAATATAGGATAGATAATACTTCTTTTAATAGATTAGACAAAATATCTGACTAGGAAGTTTTTTTGGACAGTCAAATGTCGTTGGTTCCTCACAGTCACATAACTGTACTTCATCATCCAAAGTATTTACTAGGTTGAGCTTTGCGTTACGTAACACTTCTGATTTTTATTTTTCATGGTCAAAAGTATTCTTGATTATGCCTCTCCATTATGAACCCCAATGTGTCCATCCAATATAATCAAATACAAATATACCGGCTTGAATCTGTCCAAAATAATTTTTTACGCTATTGTGGATTTGATTGCAGATTCCTCGCGATGAATGGACATATGAGGCTATGCGAAACATCCTATCTATTAATACTCTCAAGTCTGATCGATATTTTTGTGACCTTTGTCTAATTTATAAATTCGGTGCCTGGTGAGAGATTGTCCGGTATGTTTCGGGGTTCCTTCACGGAACACTCGTAGTACCGATTTCTTTTCCATTCCATATCATTCTAGCAATTAAGAGTCCTTTATCTAAATTCTCTAGACTAGTAAATAATTACCATTCTGAGGTAACTATGGAGTTTCATTTCCACATTGCCGCCGCCAGTTCAATTCCGTGTTATAATTCCAAAGGGGTGATGTTTGAAGTTGTATCTGTCTGTATTGTTAACTTGTATAAGTTACATTTATTAGTTGCTTTTTATATTATTTTGCTTTATTGCATGCAATGTATATGATAAATGTTGTTAAATTCTATTGATTTTGCTAATTTTCATGTTGAAATTTTGTTGATGTAGATTGTAGAAGTAATATTTTGTAAAAGGGGGGTGAACCCATAAATAGATAAATAAATAAATAAATACAAATAAAAATGATTTGCAATAGTTCGTTCGCCGCTTGCGGGTGGGAATACTGAGAATGCTAGCAAATGTAAACGTTTGCAGTAATTCGTCCAGATTCTCATTCTACCCAGAAACATTTTCGAGCATGTTTGCCTGATGCACCATTGTTGGCAAAGCAGACAAATACCTACTAAAGAATGTCAACGTTTTTGTCAGATGTATTTTCGGCCCTAGAAATAGAAACATATTCCATAATGTACTGTAATATCAAATATGTATGTGATTTCCAAGACAGATTAAAGATAATCAGACATTTCAATTTTTATTGGATAATTAGGTATAAAATAAATGTTCCACGATACACATCCACGAAGTTACTATTAAATTACTAATTAGGATGTTTGTGAACTAGGAGGTAACCGAATCAAGAATATCTAAAAAAGTGACTTCCCGGACATGTAACGTAAATAACTACATCTACCACAGATTTATATAGCTACACAAGTGATACCTATTTCCGTAGATTCCTTATACGGGGGCAAAATAAAATTCGCCAGCTGCAAATTATAATTCAATATAGTTATGAGAAATCGGAAACAAACATAATTATTTTAGAATTATTTATTCAAACAGTACGTCACAAATATTTCTTTTAGAACTAGATAATATGGTTCCAGCCAAAACAAAACAAATTTACCTTTTTAAAACGTTGCAATAATTTTTCATTGACATTTTCATTAACGAACCGGCATCTTTGCTTATCTGTGAATATGCCTAATTAGTTGGAAATTACCCATTTTCTTCCTACTCTAATATGGCTGATATCTGATATGGCAATACTGATTTTATAGTGTCATTTGGTTATTAATTATCATTTAAGCAATTTTCTTTTTCTGCGGACATGATGCTTTATTCGGAAAATATCGATGAAAAACCTCAAATATTTTGATTCTAAAGTAAGCATCATTTTGATTGCCAAAATTGTTAGGTACCTATACATAACTACCTTTTGCTGAAGATAGTCAAACATCGAGAAGACGATATAATGGAAGGATGTGTTTTAATGTTACGTTAAATTTAATGTACCGGGTTATTCTCTATATTTTGACCCCCCATCTGCAACCTTGACCTTTACAGGTAGATTTTTTTTTTTTTTTTTACGGATATGCGCACTCGCAAGGAAATGTCCTATCACGCTCGAGAAGCGGCAGGTGCGCGGAAATGTCGGTGTATGTTGGTCTTGAAACGGTTCAGGTTGTAACCTGCAGGGAAAACCGTCGCAGGGAGTTTATTCCACAGCGATGCTGTTCTCCAGAGATATGAATTCTGATATAATGAGGTTCTTGGTGCCTCTAGTTTGTCAGTAAATTCATGGTTACCGTCTGTTTGACGGGTTCGCCTGGTAGGTGCTACTCTCGGTGGAATCATACGTGCCAACTCTTCAGAGCATTTTCCGTGATAGTACCTGTAGAAGAGAGATAAATCGCCCACAGATCTGCGATGTTCGAGACCATCCAAGTTACGAGTAAGTGCGGGGTCATTGATCAGCTTGATAGCTCGTTTTTGCACGGTATTCAAAAGCATTGAGGTATGTTTGGGTGCTGCACTCCATATATGTGAGCAGTACTCCATAGTTGGTCGAATCTGGGCTTTGTAGAGTGTCAGCAATTGGCTTGGTGTGTACAGATGTCTTGTACGAAATAGCACCCCCAGCTTTTGGGACGCCCTTTTAGCAATATCTGCCACGTGACTGTGCCAAGACATGTTGGTCTCTGCAGTAACCCCCCAAAATGTTCAACTGACTCTGTAATGTGACAGCACTTCCAGATAGCATGATGTTTGGATCACCGGTGCTGGTCTTTTTTGAAAACAGAGCTGCTTGGGTTTTCTGCGCGTTGAACTGTACAAGGTTTTTGTTACCCCCAGTCCTCTATTATCTCCAGGTCGTTATTTATCTGCGATATTTGAGTTAGTCTAAGATGATGGAATTCACGTGCGGAAAGACCTGTGGGTGGTATGAGTGAGGAGACTACATTGCCATCGTCTGCAAAGCAATAAAGTGGATTTACTGGTACAGGTTACAGGTAGATGATAGGTGTAAATGCAAAACTTGTGCAGTTTGAGCTAAATTTTTAGATTCTATCGTCAGAAACAAAAAACTATTGTCAGAAATTTGAAATTTTGCGTTCTTCCAACTTTTTTCAAATGGTATGCCCTATATTTGGTTCTATATTCTTGCAGGGCACAATTTTCCGATTCCAAAAATATATAGTTTGTCTATATTTGGTTGAGCCGTCTCCAAGATTATTTGGTTCTAGAAATTGTAAAAATACTATTCTACTGACTTAGATTTTGTGAACCATTCTACCTGTGAAGGTGAAAGCTGCTGGTAAAATTTGAGGCACTTGGTTCCTCTGATAGTATTTTTATAATTTTTAGAACCAAATATGTTGGAGACGGATCAACCAAATATAGACAAACTATGTATTTTTGGAATCGGAAAATTGTGCTCTTCAAGAATATAGAATCAAATATAGGGCATTCCATTTGAAAAAAGTTGAAAGTACGCAAAATTTCAAATTTCTGACAATAATTTGTTGTTTCTGACGATGGATTCTAAAAATTCAGCTAAAGCTGCACAGCTTTTGTGTTTACACCTATCATCTACCTGTAAATGTAAAGTCTGCAGGTAGGGGGTCAAAATATAGTGAATAACCCTATACATATCTAATCATGAATCATGATGCCTTAAACGGTGTTTACACTAGATGCAATTGGATGTAATGCAATTTCTAAAAAATGGCATGCAATCTGCTGCAAATGCAATTTACTGTTTACATAGGACGCAATAAAATACATGCCATTTTGAGAACCCCTTGTGCCAACTCAAAGAAAATGACATATGTATAACAGCTGACGATTCATATTTTTAAATTTTGTATTATATGTTGTTTTCTGTTCAAGATTGAGTTAACGATTTTGGATTTTGCTTGGATTTTCCATTTTGCAAGACAAAATTTAATAATTTTTGTATAAAATGGTTTATGGTACGCAAAAAGATGTTTTCCTATTTTAGGGAAAACTACAAATTTGAAAATACATATGTAGATAAGAATATAATTTCCATTTTCCTCAAGATTTTTGAGAAGTGGTAGCTATGCATTTCCGAAAATATTTAAAAATATTTTCGGAATTCATGAAGGTGCCAAAAAAAAAAAATTGTCAAAATATTTCGGCTAAACGAAAGTTGACCCGGAATTTCTTCTAAATTCTAAAATTGTCAATTGATTTTTTACTTATGGAGAAGTTGCTTCGCGTTTTGGCAACAGTCGAGAGAAATATTGTCCTCCTGCCTTATTATATTTTTTTTTGCATTTTTAGGCATTATTTTTTGCTTTGACGTTCGACAAGAAACACTCATGCACCATGCACCAAGAAAGTAGGTATCTGTTGTGAAGTTATATAAATCGAAATATGTTCTATTACATAGGCGCACAGCTTCTAAAATTTTGATTTTTCCTAGATGGCTTCTCTTGCTGCTACTAATTGGCCAAAACCTTTAGTGCTAGTTCCTTGTTTAAGTTGGTCCACTGCTTCATCAGTATTCACAGAGGTAAAATTATATGATTTAAATTTGCAGCTGTTTTTTTTATAGCTCATTTACTGTGGGTGTAGCAGGTTTGGATACAAATATTTTAACAAGGGAAAATTTGTTCATCTTGGTTAAAACCATTTTTCAGAGAAATCTAAACTTTTAGGCCAGTTAAAATGTTGGAATTGGTTACATTATTTGGGGTAGTTTCAAGTTTTCGATATGTTATTAGAAGTTTTAACTAAAATAGCCCATATTTACACTTGTTAAAATATTGGTACCTAATCGAACATTAAACACTGTGTATATTATTTACTAAATAAGGTTTATCATTTCCAAAGATCCGATTAATTATGTTATTAGAAGAAAAAATATAATTATCTTGCGAAATGGAACTTGCACTTTTTATTATGATTTATTTTACTTTACAAAAAAAAATTGTATGTGTTGTAGAAATTTTTTTCACGTTGATTAAAATTTTTTATTTTCATTATAAATTTGAAGCGGCCCTTATGATCACAGACGGTCCCTTATCAAAAAAATCTTTAGACAAGTCTTAAGATAAACATTGTAGATCAAAAGATGTTGCACATCTTTTATTTGAAACATTTTTTGTAAAATCAATAGGTACCAAGTAATCGCCAATGGCGCACTTTCAACCCCTATACCGCAAAACGCATTAGGGGTGCATGTGTGATATCACCCACCCGCCTCCTATCATCCCTGAAAAATTCATTTGGGCAGGATTTTTTTTTCTGCAATGCATGTATTGTTTGACAATTTTCCTAGACTATGATATTATTTTGAGCTTGTCTTGATATTATTTTGAGCATATCGACTAAACAGCCGCCGGCATCGATTATTCAATAAGAAAAATATACAGTGTGTTTCAAAAGTCTGGGAACGGTTAAATATGTTTATCCAGAGCGGCTTGAAATAGAATTACGAAATTTTCTGCATATGATGATATGATTCTGATTAATGATGCCCGATTTAATGATGACATCGAGAATGTTGCCAAGTTTACCGGTTTTCAGATAATGTAGGTAAGTTCGTTTTTTTAAATGGAATACCACTTTATTTTCATTGCAATAAATTCTACGCTCTATTGTTAGTGAAACCTCCAGATATCATATCCCTATTTTACGCGGTTCCTGGAACATGGCAACACAACCTTTTTGTTTAAAGGTCTGGCAATGGTCAAATAATTTCCACAACGGCTCAAAATTATTGTCACAACTGCCCGCTTTACGGGGGTGACATGGGGGGTTTGTAGCTTTGGGGGTTGATGGAGAGAAACTCGCTCAGGTTATATAAAAATTTAGATATATATTTTCCCAAATATGCCCTTACATGTACGCTAATCCTATAAGATGCATGACTTTTCGAACACTGGGGCCCTTATAGGGAGCCACATGTCAACGCTGCTTGGGGGACTGTAGATTAGTTATCGTCACCCTTATGCCTTGTCCAGAGGGGCTTTCCCAACGAGAGGTAATTGCACTGGACAACGATAAGGCTGAAGATACCCAGAGGGGCTTTCCCAACGAGAGGTACTTGCACTGGGGAGACTTAATTCCAGAGGGGCTTTTCCAACGAGAGGTACTTGCACTGGTTTAAGTCTGCCTTTGCTGCGGCTTGCAGCGCAATTTATATCAATTTATTGCTGAATTGCAATAAATATCCTCCTTTTCTAAGCAACTAGTTGACATAATATGATAACGAAATTGAATCGGGCATCAATAATCACTCCTCTGCGGAAAACTTCGTAATTCTATTTCAAGCAGCTCTAGAAATATTTGACCGTTCCCAGACTTTTGAAGCATATTGTATATGTTCTATTGTTCGAAACATAACTTACCTGTAAGTCAACTAAATGTTCAAATCAAAATGGTAGATATGACACACTTTTGAATAATCTACTCTACCTCATTAAAGTAAATGTGATTATCTTTCATGCAAGTATCCTATTATCAAGTTAATTGTTGAATTTTTGGAGATTTTACAGGATTAATTTGATTTTGTTTTTTTTTGACACTGAGAATTTTTATTAATTTTTTTTTCTTCCACAGGGTGTAATGAGTGAATCTATTGATTGGAGTATGCTAGAAGCACAATATTTAAATGATGAACTATATTCCGAGAAACTTTCAAAAGCTTGTAAAATAGTCGATGATCCATTAGCCTGTACTTTAGGCCAAAGTTTTTCAGGTTTGTATTTTTTTATTTATTAATAAGTTGAAATATAGTTCATATTGTACTGCCGGACCTTTAAAATGACTAAAGTAACGGCATATAGTTTTAATTATCATACTGCATTAAACTATAAGCTGTTGATTAAACCACCAGGTTCTAAAAACTGTTTAATTGGCATCGTACTAGTTAGTTTCTCAAATTTCGAAGCGGCTGTAAGCCCTTGCTGAACGCAGAGACTGGGTTGGACTCGGCCATTGGATAATTTGAAGAAATTTTAGTTTTCCGGTTTTTTTTTAGAATCTATACACAATAATTACTGTTACGCCGACGTCACTGTGCACCAAAGGTACGCAAATATTGAAGATTTCGTTCCATTGTGTGATTTTAATAAACAAGCATCTACGAGAATTTTAGAGATTTCTCGGTCGAATGGTTTTGGTTTTGAAGAAACGAAACCCTCAAATAAAAATAATAGGATAAGGATACTCTAATAGGTACCAACAACATTACATTAACAGAAATTGGAGGATCAGTTAGGAACCAAAATACTTTTATTGAGGATAATGAAGAACTCAACATAGTATTCACTAGAAGAACAAAAACAAATACCGACATAATATATGCTGAACGTTCTCCCAGTATTTTTAGAAAACTAATGTACTACAAAAAACTATAGTATATTGTCTGGGAACGATACCCACCCAGCGTTGCCAGCGTCAGTACAAAAGTACTGAAATCAATACATTTTAACCATCTTCAGTGCGTCAGTACTACATTTTATGTTTCAGTACATTTTTACAAATATCCGAAACTTAACGTAACCTTTCTGCTGGCTCTGTCGAGAGTCAGCTATCAGTAAGGTCGCATATACTTTTTTCTATGGGTGAACCCAGAACCCATCAATGAGATGTCTATCTTTGTCTAGTACCTACGTTGGAATTTAGAAAACGAAATGACTGACTCATAATGATCGATGAAAAAAAGAAAGCGCCTAACAACGAAATCTATTGGTAAAATAAGTGCGTTTTGCGTATTGAGTGTATTTGTGTCGTTTTCTACTAGCATGTAAAAGAAAGCGACGTCATTTACTCATTTAGTGAGAATTGAGAATGGTGGGATTTGATCTAGGCCAAGGGCCAAGGTTGTTTGAAAGAGGTAGGCTGCCTGATAACCTTATGACGTCATCTGGGATGCCTCAACTTAATGCAAATCTCCATACCAGATGCGTCATCAACTTACCCATTACTAGGTAACCTATTAAATACCTCTAGGAATGTTGGGTCTAGGCTACACGGCGATTTGGAATTTTCAGTTTTTATTATTTGCTTAATAATTATAATTTACTATTTTATTGTGGAGGTAACACCGATAACACCGAAAAACGAATAGACTTTTGACGTTTTAAAATTCCATTGTTACCAACTCAATACTTCTTCCCCCGAATCAGTACTTTTTTTCCTGCCTGCTCAGTACTTTTATTTTCAGGCCACTGGCAACGCTGTACCCACCCAGTATATGAAAATTTATCAGTGACACAATGCTTCAAATTTAATGTAATGGTTATTACCATAAGAAAACGGCTTGCACAAGCAAAAGTGTTTGTGACTATTGTGAAGGCGAACATACTCGGACTGTAACCTTGCTCCGACAGGAACAGGAAAAAGATGTACAAATTGTGAATCATTGAATCAATCAATATACAGGGTTAGTAAAAAGTACTGCAACACTTAAGGCCGCGTTAATGGCCGCCATGTTCAAACTGTGATTGGTTGATTTTTCAAAACTTGTTTTAAGGTCTTTAAAAAAACGGCACATCAGAATTGGCTCAAATTTGGCATAAACATTATTTGATCGATTATCTACAATTCCTTATTTTGGTTTTTCGATATTCAGCCTTTTTTTTAAATTAAAAAAATCACGTTCGCAACCACCAAAACAATTAAATGTGTTGGTGGTTGCATATTTGCATGTTTATCAAGCTTGGATCCGTGAAAAGCATATTTTATTGATAACCACGAAAAACTAAAAAAAGCTAATTGTAGAGATTTTAGATAATATATCAAATAATGTTTATGCCAAAGGATTTTGGAAATTATTGCGGATTTTTTGAGATGACCTTAAAACAAATTTTGAAGGTGAAAACAGTTCAAGCAATTTCAAGTAGATGGCGCCACGGCAAAAAAGCTACATTGGGAGCATCATAATTGTATATTTGTCTTTCTCTGTCACTAAGTGTTTCACAGATTTTGTTTTGGACAAATAATAAAACATTGTAAAGTGACGCAGTCGTCATTTTCAAAAACTAAATTTAAACATGGCGGCCATTAACGCGGCCTTAAATATCTCCAAAACTGCTTAAGCCGCGTTCACACAATTCGGAATCTGGCAGTTTTCAGGCATGCGGAATTCAACGACGCCATTGTCAATGTTGCCAGATTTCCCAGTTTTACGCTACACGTAGTCTTTTTGTTATCTTGAATAGAATGCCCCATTTATTTTTATTGCAATGAATTGGGCGTGCCAAATTTGATAAGATTCCTAACTTTCAGAATTCTATCTCTACTAGTTGCTGAAATATGAGAACACCGTATTTTCGGTAAAAAGTATAGCAAGGCTTGAATATCTTCAAACGCCGCTTAAGCACGTTCACGAAATTTAGTATCTGGGGGTTTTTGGGCAAGCAAAATTCAACCGTGATTTCGGCATTGTTGCCAGACTTTTCAGTTTTGCGCTACACGTAGTCTTTTTGTTATCGTGAATAGAATGCCTCATTTATTTTTATAGCAATAAATTGGACGTGTCGAATTTGATAAGATTCCAAATTTTCAGAATTCTCCACTAGTTGCTGAAATATGCCAACACCGCATTTTCAGTGAAAGGTATCGCAACGCTTAAATATCTTTAAAAACCTGCTTAAGCACGTCCACTAAATTCGGTATCTGGGGATTCATGGGCAAGCGAAATTCAACTGTGATATATTGTTACCAAGTTTCCCAGTTTCGCGCTACACGTTGTCTTTTTGTTATCTTAAATAAAATGCCCCATTTATTTTTATCGCGATGAATTGGTCCAAATTTTAATGAGATTCCAAAATTTCAATATGCTCCTTGTACTGTTAGATACTACTTGCTTAAGCGGGTTTTTAAAGATATTTAAGCGTTGCGATACCGTTGACTGAAAATGCGGTATTGATATATTTCAGCAACTAGTGGAGAATTCTCAAAATTTGGAATCTTATCGAATTTGACACATCCAATTTATTGCTATAAAAATAAATGGGGCATTCTATCAAAATAACAAGAAGACTATTTATAGGGCAAAACTGGGAAATCTGGCAAAAATGCCGATATCACGGTTAAATTCCACTTGCTCAAAAACCCCCAGATACCAAATTTCGTGAACGTGCATGCTTAAGCAGCGTTTGAAGATATTCAAGCATTACGATACTTTTCACTGAAAATACGGTGTTGTCATATTTCAACAACCAGTAGAGATAGAATTCTGAAAATTTGGAGTCTTCTCAAATTCGGCACGCCCAATTCATTGCAATAAAAATAAATGGGGCATTCTATTTAAGATAACAAAAAGACTACGTGTAGCGCAAAACTGGGAAATCTGGCAACATTGCCAATAGCACTGTTGAATTACGCATGCCTGAAAACTGTCAGATTCCGAATTGTGTGAACGCGGCTTAAGCAGTTTTGAAGATATTTAAGTGTTGCAGTACTTTTTACTAACCCTGTATATGAGTGAAATTTTGTATTTTCATTTAGTTCAATAGTTTTGTTGTTAGGATAAAGATCATTTTGGAGGACCCGCGAAATCTTGAAAATTTGGTGTCAAAAACGGGATAATTGGCGAGACAATTGGGGTATTAATTTAGGCTAAATTATATTTGAATAATTGGCGAGATAACTAGCGGATTAGTTTGAGCTCAAGGGATAATTCGCAAAGATTGATTTGAGGCAATTAGTGCAAACAATAAGTCTTTTTTTTTGAACTACTAAAATAGTGACTGCTTTCTGGATTTGATACGGAAAAACAAGCTCACAACCGAGTTTGCTGCAAAGTTCCAAAACATCGTATAGTGTTTTATTTGGAACGAGTATAAGATATAAAAATAGTGACTATATTAATGGATATGACATCGAAAAACAAATCCACAGAGTGATTTCTTTAGAACATCACATAGTGTTCTATTTGAAGACTTTACTTCGCCACTAAACTATGGTAAACACCGGACAGCAAACAGCCGAAATAGAGCAAGTAAATCAAAAGTTGTTGGGCATCGAGGACAAGAAACAAGAAGAGTTAGGCCCAAGATAGAAAAAAAACAAGAACAAACCCAGCTTGCAGCACCTTCACAGCAAGAAGTAGATTGGAGAATAAAAGCGAAACAAGAAAGAGGAAGCCTGAAAACATCGAGAATAGATTCAAACTGTAATCTCTGAAGAACAAACCAGACAAAAACGCGTGTATTTTTAAAATACTGGCCTTGAAGTCCGATTCCTCCTCAGTTAATAAAGTAGCTGAAAAAAAAAGGAGTTTTCCGTACCTACTTAAAAATTAAAATCCTTCAAATAATATATACTGGACTTTCATTTCAAAACTTGCCACCCACGTTATCTGCGTGAAGAGACAGATTTGTGAAAATCGCCCAAATACGTCAAAAAATCTATTCAGGTCTTACGTAAAAAACTTTCCCCTCAATTCGTTGACGTGTTTACGCAGATAACGTTGGTGGCAAGTTTTAAAATCCTGTCCTATCCTGTATATTTTCTGAACGAATTAGTTGATGGTCATTGCTGTTGAACAGATCACAGAAATTAACTATCACTGTCGAAAAAGTCTCTATTTAAAGCTTTTCATTTCACGTAAAAATTAACATTAATACAATGAGTGCCGATTAAATAGTACCCAACTATAATTATGGTTGTTGCTCGATAAGTAATAGGTCTCCGCAGTCATTTGATGCTGTTGACTCAGTTCGGGACCCTAAAATAGCTCCTCCATCATAAGAGTTAGCACACCTTGTTGGGAGGTAATTTGATCGGCGAATGGGTCTGGGTCGCTGACCCGGTGGTGGCTCTATTTCTCTCACCCAACTTTTGGATTATATATTTGTACACTTTATTGCTATTAACATTCCCCAAATGGATAGATTCAAAATGATTATTATTTTCGATTTTGAGGATAAATTTTGGTGTTTGTTCTGATTTTATGCAGCTCGTTTCATTTCTTGTGGATGTTGACTCAAATTTAGTACAGGAAGGTGTGGAGTCGTAGTTTCCATGTCTGAAAATATAATTGGCTATTGATCGATTCCATCTTCTGGTGCCTCTGATGATTAAAAATCAAGAAATCTCATTTTCTCTCGACACCCAAAGGGTAACTTCATTAAATCGCTTCCATGTAATGTTTTAGCTGCTCCATTTGTTTGCATTAGAAAATTGTAGTTTGTTCTCTGACAAATCAATATCCTTTTATTGGAATAGGCTCATTCAATGAAAGAAAGAGGCACGATTAACATTGAAATAGGCCCACGTAAATTTCAACTAAATTTCAATATTTTAAAGGTACCATCATTGCATATGCATAGGAAATATCCCTACGTAGATTTTCTTGAATATCTCAAATAATACCAATCCGATTTTGACGTTTTTAGGGTTTGCATACCTATAAAAGGACTCCAAAAACGTCAAAATCGGATTATATTTTTCGAGATATTCTAGGAAATCTATGTGGGGATATTTCCTCGGATATTTCCTATGCATAGCAGGACCCACGTACTTTGACAAGCTATATCTGCTATCACAGACATACGATCCTCTTTACATTTAATTTTTTTTTAGCAATGATGATAGGTACCTACCTTTAAAATATTGAAATTTGGCTGAAACTTACGGAGGCCTATTTTCAATGTTAATCGTGTCTTTTTCCTTATGAAGTTGTTGAAATTTTTTTCAGACATAGTTTCAACCAAAATTGATCCTAAAAAATAAATAAGCCGTCCAGAAAATAAAGCATTTCAAATATCAACGTAATCTCGGCTGTGACGTCACTGAATGCGAGGCAATTTTGTGCTACCTTCCATGTTCATATAATAAATAATGTTGATAAAAGGGATATTTTCAACACCTCCGCCCTAAGAAACGCCGCTAAAAATACACTACTTCATACGATACGGCGCAGCGACCATTTTGATTCCGGGCTGCTCTCACGTGCATTGACGTCACAGCCGCGCGAGGTTTCGATTTTTATTAGGGGATTTAGTGGACGCAATTTTTTTGTTCTTTTGTAAGGAACCATAAAATTGTACGATCTTTCCAATATACAAATTCAAAAAAAAACTGTTAAATGGGCCTATTATCGAGTTTATTAGTTGGATCAGATATATTGGGGGTTGTATATAAGAGCAACACTGGTGGATAACGCCCCCATGAGAGAATAATCGTTGTAAAATTTACTTTATCTGAATAAAGGCTATTTATTATTATTATTATTATTATATTGTGGGGGGGCTTCACTAAAACTCCATTCATAAACAGTAACAACTTTTTCTTCCAACACTATGAGAAAATTGATTTTACTATCCCTACAGAGACGATAAAGTGGGCATTTCTGAGGCTAGCCCTGGAAAAAATTCAAAAATGGCTAGGCAAGAAAATTATTTTTTACTTTTTCTAATACAACACATAATACACCTGAAAAATAGTATATATTTTTTTTCAATTCAGAAAAAGCTGTGTTCGTTTTATTTATTATCTACATAATAATAAATTCTAGTATCAGAAGTTATTCATAAACTAAATTTTTAATGTAAATTACCATCTAATATAGATTTCTGCAAAAAGTTGACAGATAAGTGTGACAGTTTGAACTTGAATTTGATGTAAATCAATCAAATCAAATCCAATAAAAAATCAAGGGATATAAAAAAGCATGCTCTATAGCTACAATTATGTGGTATCGGAACTGTCTCTGATTGGAGCTTCTGGTATTTCTCAGAGTACTCGTGTATATCGTTTTTTTTTTTAACACTTCATTTGAATCATTGACACATACATAAATACTTTTCTGATATTTTGCGAAAAAGTAAAATTGATTTTTTTTTGTTGCAGATTATCCTATTCAGTGTGAGATGGATTTTACCCAAAAATTGAAGGAAAGTTATATTACCCCTTATGAGTTTTTTCATAGTACTAAGTTTGACTCTGCCGGGGACTGCAAGGCCATGACATACAAATCATCTTTGCAAAAAGATAGTTTTTTGTCAAAAATTTACAATTTCACAAGAATGCCATCGTTTATTCCGAGTAAAAAAGTGACTAATCAGAAAAAAAAAGGTAACACAAAAAACCCATTATGAGCTTAACTTTTTCCAGGTGGCAGCAATCGCGCGTCTTCCTAATTAGTAAGTATAAGATAAACTTTGGCAGTATACAGTAAGCAGACTGGCACCTACTAGTCACCGTGGCAATGTACCGTTTCCGAAATCCTACAAATCTCCTGCAAATGTAGTTCGTTCGAGCATTCGGGTATTTCGTCTCTAGGTATTGTTCTGAGCCTCTTTAGATATGAAAGGCTCTAAGCCTATTTATCAGATTGAATTGTCGACTAGCAGGTTATCGCAAATTTTTCAAAATTCATGGTATACAAGGTTCTTGAAAGCCCTATCTGCAAAAGAAATTCCAACAATTTGTATTTGGTTTCAACTATCAAATTGTCGAAAACTGATTATTTATTTGTATGTCTATTGTATCAACAGCTATGCAGCCAGAAACAGATAAAAAATACTTAGAAACGAGATTAAAGTTTAAAATAAGGCTAAAGTTAGCTATATCGCTACAATAATAAATTTAGATTGCATAACCTAATATTATCAGTTCACATAAAACTTTCTGATCTAAACTCCTCTCAATAATATTTATCTATTTGTATATAAAGAATTCCAGCTATTGGTAGGCTTATCGAAGTTTTGGCTTTTTAACACTGTTCGCAATTTCTTTTAAATCGATATGCACACCGAAATTCAACTTATCTTCAATGTATCCTCCAAGATATAGATATCTATATATATATAAATCAAAGTTCCAGGGGTATCCAGGTATGCGCTCCTATACCACTTATCCGATTACGATGAAACTTTGGTAGATTGTTATGGCCATCCTAAGGAAGGTTTGTGGATAGGTTACGCATCTCGGAAAAATAAATTAATTTTGAATTAATTATTAGGCCGTGGCTAAAGTAACAGAGGTGTTACTATAATTATTTTTTTAAAGTAACATCAGTTCAATGACGTCACTGATGTTAATTTTAATAGGGGTTATACTAACAGAAGTGTTACTCTAATTATTTTCTTGAAGTAACGTCAATATAGTAGCAATATATAGAAAAGAAAGGTAGGTACTTTCTTTAGCAATTCAAACTTTAAAGTAAAGGTGATATTCAACAACATAACAATAATATTTTATTTTTTATAAACCAAAAATTTGAATCAACATATGGATAATACAAATCTTTTGTGAGAAAAACGGCGTCTCCATATTCCTATTCCTCACATGCCCTTACCCAATAGTTATTTGTAAACCAAAAGAACGGGAGTGTAGGTATAGTTCTCTCCTGCAGGTGAAATTCGATTGATTACCTTTTTATGAGTGTGCAAAGTGAAAATTCAGTTTTCCATTTTTAATTATTAGCGGTATAAAATAATGGTCATCAACTTCAAGCAGTTTTTTTCAGCAAATGAAGATGGGTAATTTCTTAATTTGGAGCTAAAACTATGATAATCTACAGCGAAAAAACTTCTGCCTAGGAAGGAAAATAATTTACTTTCCTCCATAGGGAGGCGAAACTACTATTTTCCTACCTGAAAAAAAGGTAACAAATTATCACTTTCTGACAGTCATAAGAAAATGTGTCTTTCCTGCCTTGCCTATAATTGTGCCTGTTTTATAAGTATTCTATTCTATTCTTCAAAGTCAAGTCAGGTTATTTTTTATTTATTTCCATTTTTACTCTAAAACAAATGCCAAGAACCAAGAATATCACCTTTACTTTAAATTGCTAAAGAAAGTAATTACCTATATACATATTGCTATATTGACGTTACTTCAAGAAAATAATTAAAGTGACACCTCCCTTACTATAACCCGATAAAAGTAACGTTTTCATCAGTGACAACATTGAACTGATGTTACTTTAAAAAAATAATTATAGTAACACCTCTGTTACTTTAGCCAGGGCCTAATTATTAATTTAATTGTAAACAAACTCATTCACATTACATAACAACATAGCCCAACTTTTTTTTTGACAGTATGAAAGGCTTGCCATTCAACCGACGTAGCTTTATTATTTTTTGAATTCGAGAACGGCTGGACCGATCTTGAATTTAATACCACGTATCTCTATATAAGCTGAATTCGATTGACCCAGATTAGATCGATTTGGGTTCAATTTAAGTGAACTTCTTCTGATCTAGATCATTTTTTGTTGATGAGAGTGCACTGATCCAGCCTCAATCGAACACAGTGTGGTTCACTTAAATTGAACCAGATCGATCTAATCCGGTTAATCGAATTCGGCTAAAGAGGGGAGTGCTATAAGCTATTTTTTATCCCGAAAAAAAAAGTTCGGTTGCGCGAAACTCTGATACACTGGAACGCCTATAAACAACCCGGGGCGCTCTAGAACAGCTCTGGAGTGCTTAAAATGCGTCACTGAACTCACTGGCAAGCGACTCTGGTATCGGATAAAAAAAATAAAAAAAAATTAAATAGAAAATCAACAACAAAATTTGAAAAAAAGTGTATTATTTCAAAATATATTTTCACGCTGACAACGCAGCGGGTCATTAGCTAGTTATTTATATAATTCTGTTTCTTATTGGTGCATTACTTGATGTGATAATAATCTCGTAAGTGTTCATCAAAAGTTTTTCCCATAATTAACACATCATCCAGATGGACAAGGCATACTGTCCGCGTGAATTCTCCTAATCCAATTTGCATCAGCCTTTCCTTCATTGATTCTTTATAAGGAATATTTAGAGTTGACCAGTTGACAATATACCAACATTTCCTACATAACTGTTAATGTCACCACCTTCTGGTATATTGGAATAACGTGAGTTACAGCATTGATAGTGGCGCTACGAGGACCTGCCTTAGATCTTCTTCCGTCCATCCCTTCAATCTACCAACAGAATTACCAGCATCTAAGTCAGACGTTAGAATTGCACTTCGGAGACCATTACAGACCAGAAGTATTAAGAACTCAAGTTAAATCAAGAATTCAAAAACCCGGCGAGAGTTTTCAAGAATTCGAATCGGAAGTTAAAAGGCTAGTGAGTTTGGCGTTTCCTGCAGCAGGGGAAGAAATTTAGGAATGGATGGCAGTATCTGCGTTTATTGATGGTCTCAGAGATTCCAAGATCCAGGAAAACCTGAGAATGTCTATGGTCAGACAAAGTAGCGAAGCACTTGTCCGAGCATTAGAACTGGAAGCAGTCTTTGGTGCCTCACGACCCAGAATACGAGCAATGTCCATTGAAGGCCCAAAGGATAAACAATCGTCCAAAGAGGATGATAGCTTCGAGAATTTCATGAGTAAATTCATGGAGAGAATGAAGAACTAGTACTAGAAGTTAGACAAATGGGAAACGACTCCAGACAAACAACAACACCGAGAAACCGAGTAAAATGTTACCGGTGCCAAAAGTTTGAACATATGTAATGGGACTGTAGACTAGGAACGTCCTCTCCATCTAGGGATTGTTCCCAACACTTTTGGGGATCTAGAGAGGCCAGCCCGAAACATCGACCAGGGCCCGTATTCTCGTAACCGGGGAACAGCCTTCTCTCAAGAGAACGATTGCTCTGTCTTTGTTAGTATTATGGAAATAACAATATGGGTAACTAAGACAGAGCAATCGTTCTCTTGAGAGAACGCTGTTCCCCGGTGACGAGAATACGGGCCCTGGAAACTTGCATGAAAATGCTGACGCTCTGTCCAGACGACTATCCAAAGACGACAGCAAGCTTCGTCAAAAAATCGATATGCCTGAGAAAAACACTGTTCAGTTTCAGTTCAAAGATAAACAATCGTCAAAAGAGGATGGTTAGCTTCAAGAATGTTATGAGTAATTTCATGGAGAAAATGGAGAAACTATTACTAGAAGGTTGATAGACGGAAAACGACTCCAGATAAACGCCGAGGAACCGAGTAGAATGTTACCGGTACCATAAGCTTGGACATATTCAACGGGATTGTACAATAAGGATGTCCTCTCCATCTAGGGACCGTTCCCAACGCTTTTCGGGATTTAGAGTCGCCAGCCCTAATAAAAGACAGGGAAACGGGAACCAACCAGTATGGAGGAGCGAATGCGGGTTAGTAATGACTAAGCCCCCAGGTGCTGAAGTTTCTATAATTAGAAATTCATTAGTCAAGTCTCGGGCAATCCATTCGCTCACTAGAAACCTGTCACTACGAACAGTCACGGGCGAATCGGCACTAGTTCAAGGAGAAGCTATATCATTAAGCTTACTTTTAGGCACAGAACATTAGTCGCCGATATAGAGGATGATTTTATTTTGGGAATGAATTTGATCTGGCAACATGATTTTTCTTTCGATCCTTCTATGAACATCCTTAAATTTGGTTATGAAGAATTTGTCCTACCTACCCAAAAAGAATCTCAAGCCGTTAAGATCCTGGCCACAAACCCGGTGAGGATTCCTGGAAGTACTGAAAAGATAATTTGCGGAAAATTGAAAACTGAAAACAAACCCTGGGTGCTGCGTTGGACTAACACACCATTTTATTGGAGATAAACCAGAAAAATTTCTCGTTGGAAAGAACAAATGGAGACATTATGATAAGAATTGCCAATGTTTTTTCTGGAACAGTAAAAATAAAGGAAGGAGATATATTATTGGGACTCTCGAACCAGTTAAGCAAATATCGAACTGTGACCTATCAGATAAGCGACATTTTGTGAAACCGAAATTGGATACAGACATCTTGATGCAGACTGGAGAAATCATGGAAACACCTCGATTCAGATAGACTTCAAGAAGCTAAAGATTTCATCTTGAAAGAAGCAGACGTATTTGTTATGTATAATCAAACCGGACGGACCAGCTTAATTCAACACAAAATTGATACTGGATTGGCACACCGAATTAGGCAACCACCACGACGTATGCTAGTAGCTAAACAAAAGGAAGTAGAAAACCAAATTGATAAAATGCTTCAAGAGGGAATTATTGAAGAGTCAAATAGTCTAGTTCAAATAGAAGAAGTTTTTGGCCGCTTCCAGAAAGCCAATTTAAAATTCAAT